AAAAAAAAAGGATCCATCTTAGTAATAATACACAGTCGTTGCACAATGTGGAATAACTTGACAGCTAAACTGAATAAATATTGCCTGAAGTTAATGTTGTCTAACAGACTCGAACACGTTTAGAGGCGAGCGGACAGAAATAAAAAAAAAAGGGAAATCACAGTCCAATTACATCGCTTTTTATTTGTCACGCTCTGGTTTGACACGGTCCGCCTTTCCCTCCATCTGTCTCTCTCACTTCTCTCCCTTAACACCTTCCTCTTCCTTCCTTCCCACTTCTCCGCTCTTCAGAGAAAATTAGAAATGCAGGAACACATTGTCACAGTAGGCTGCTTCCACCTCCGCTCGAACCTCTGACACGCACACGCACGGGCGACTTCGGCGCCGCGGCTGAACCTGAGCGACAGCCGACTGCGGACGAAATTATTTTTTTAATCAAAGTGACAAAGCGGCGAATAAAACCCTCAAACGGACGCGCTGGTGCTCTCGCAAGTTTGGGGTTTGTTTTATTGGAAATTACATGTGTTTTGCATCATTTCCAATGTTTTTCTTTTTTACATTTACTTCACACCTCCCAGGCACTGGTTTCAATTTTATCTCAGTATGAAATGAAACCCCACTCACAAAAACTTGCTTATGCTTTCTTTTATATTGTGATGGAAACAAGAAGAGCTGAAATAATCAGGCAGTGACTGAAACCATCATTTGAATGCAGAGATGTCAAACTTTGTGCAAATGTGAGGATTTACTGCTTTGATGTTCTGTATCTCTGACTATGTTTAAAGTTTTGGATGGCTTTGAAGCTGAATTATTTTGTCGGTATTGCAATTTTTGGGGGATTTTCTGCACATTTGGACACCAAAAAAGATGCCCCACAAAATTAACATCAACTAACATTAACTAAACATGAATGTAATCCCTCATTGCAGCTCTAGAAACAAAAAAATGTTATAAAAAACATTTCTACCCAATTTTTCTCAACTCAGCAAACAAACTAAGATATATTCGAGTTTAAAGTGCTCAAGCACTGAGCACATAAAGCCAAACTTTTTCTCTTTTATAGGTACCTGCCTCTACAGTGTATTTCTATGTGCAAGCACATGCACACACATGCATGAGTCCAAAAGGGCTAATTTCACCGTGCACCAGCCCTGTTCACCCCTCTGCTTAAAGGTGGAGGCTTCTCATCAGCCAGCCAGGCCACCTGGTGGTATTACTGAGGCTTCTGGTCTCTTTTTCCTTGAAATAGAGATGCCAGGCTATAAATGATGGTCTCCAGGGGTCTGATTGCAGAACCAGAGAAGCAGGACTGCAGCTGCTGTTACTGAAGCAATGATTGTTATCAGAGGGCTCCGCAGCTCATTTTTGCCCACATGAAGTTTCTGGTCAGCCATTCAGATGCTGCTTGTCACACACATACGGGGCTCTTGTTCTCTAGCACTGCCTCTCACATACACACGCGCTACAGTCATACCTTGGCATAGTTTGTAGTCTTGATGAACCATTGTGTGAGTAGCTTCTGCTCCACCAGAGCTCCAGACCTCCAGGAGTGCCCATTTTCATCCACCTGTTCATCAGCCAGCACCGTCTGATCAACAGGATCCCAGTTCACCACAGCCTTGGATAACACACGTGCACGCACACAGCACACACCCAAACGGCACACATGAGCTCACAAATTGAAAAGCACAGCTTAAGAAGTAGCTCATATTTAAAAGCATATTTTAAGGCCACTGCATTTTATTACACAAAATGAAAAAGGTTTTTTCCAGCCTGTCTACCATTTAATCCAGTCAGAGAGAAAACTCTGAGCTGCTTCAATCATTACTGTACCAGTCAGGGATCTGAAACCTGCGCAAGTCATATTATTCATATAAAAGAAATCCAGGATAAACCAGAGCGCAAATACGATTAATACCTCTTTTTGGTATGCCAGTCCCGCTTCAAAGAGCTTGATAAATAGATACTGCGTCCACCTGTAGTAGTCTGGGAGGCAAGTGGTCACTTCCTGTCAGGAAAGTGAGAATCAGACTCAAAGGGGAGCAAATGGGCCTGAGAGCTGCCAAAACTCTGTCTGATGCTCAGCTCATCATCACATGCTGCTTACCCGGTCCCAGTTGAAGCAAAGCCCGAGAGTGTCCAGCTGCTCCCGCATAGACTGTATGTTACTGAAGCGAGAGGAACGGCGCTAGAGTTAGGATATACTGCACTCATGGGCCACTTTGTTAGGTACACCTTTTCAACTGCTCAACACAAATATTTAATCAGCTAAATTGATCAGCAACAGCAACAGAGGACTGCATCCAGTGCCACTCTGTCAGCTGTGAACAGGGAACTGAGGTTACAGATGGCATATGCTCACCAGATTTGGACAACAGAAGATTGTAAAAATGTTGCCTGGTCTGTTAAGTCTTAATTTCTGCTGCTTTAGATGGTAGGGTCAGCATTTGGTACAAACAACATGAAAGCATGGATCTGTTCTGCCTTCCACCAAAGCTTCAGGTTTCTGGTGGTGTAATGCTGTGGAAGAGTTTTTTCTTTGGGCATACTTTAGGACCTTTAATATCAGTTGAGCATC